CTCTGTGTAGCTTTGGAACCTGTCCTGGAACTCACTCTGTAGACCAGGCTGGCCTTGAATTCACAGAGATCCACCTGCCTGTGTCTCCCAAGTGCTGGGATTAAACACATATGCCACAACTGCCTAGCTAAGATTTATTTTATTTTTATGATGTATCTGTGTGGGTTATGTGCACAGAAGTGCAAGTGCCTACGGCAGTCAGAACAGGTTGTTGCGTCCCCTGGAACTGGAGTTACATCACTTAGGAACTGAACTTACGCCCTGTAGTATAAAGAAGTATGTACTCTGAGCTACAAAGCTGTCTCTCCAGCTTGTATCTTATTTACATTCTCTTCACAGTGCTTTTGTTGAGTTGGTAGTATAGATATTCAAAACCAGGCTCGCTATGATGACATCAGTGCAACAAAAATTACACATAATAGTTGTATTCAAATGTGTGTGCTCACTAGGTTGCCCTTCCAAATTGAGCCTTTTACATTGTCTATTGCTTTTTCTTGATATTTTGAGTTCAGAAATAAATAATAAACATGGCTGTAATTTCCATTTTCTAAGAAGACAGCTCCGTATAACAGCACAGGAGAAAACTACTGGCTTATTGATCTTGTCAGCCATTCTTCACTTTCTGCCTGTCAAATAGTTACCATCTATCTTGTGATCAACCTTGGCATATAAACTCTTAAATTATAAATGACCTTATCTTGAAATAGTTTTGTTACATTGTTTGTTACCCGAGCTCTTCAAGAAACAAAACATTCATATACATGTCTCATGTGTGTGTATAAATATGCCCTTCATGTGCCTGTCCTCTATGCAGACTCTCCCCAGCTACACCATGGAACTACATCAGGACAGAATTCTCTCTTGGTCTTCGTTAAATTTAAGCCTATGTATTGGACTGAAAGCTCCTTTGGTGGCCCTAGGCTCTATGTGTAGGCTACAGACTGCTGTTGAAGCTCAGCACAATGGATGGCTTCAGAATCCTTCCATTGGGATATATTTTGTGATTCATGACTGAACTTCTAGAGACCTATAAAGATAGATCCAGAGTGGGGAAACTTTTTCATACTTGAGTTTAGGTGTACATATTTGCATATACTTTCCCCTTGTTCTAAAAATTAAAGTAAAGATGATGCCTGTTGATCTTCTTTTGCCAAACTGGTTCAACAATAATCAAAAGTCTCTTATCAAATGTATGTGTGTGTGTGTGTGTGTGTATAGTTTAATCTCATTATTATGTAAGTATTATGTAAGTATGCTTCAAAATATCACACTATCCCATTAATATATACTGTTAAGTATGTGTCCATAAAAATCAGATATTTACAAGTGCAAAATGTGTATATATATAATTATATATGTTATATATTATCTCTTTGTGTACTGCTATGATTAATTTACCTGTAATGTGGAATTTTTTACATTTATATTTTTGTGTGGTGTGTGTGTGTGTGTGTGTGTGTGTAGGTAGATCAGAGGAGAACTTTTAGAAGTCCGTTGTCTTTTCCCACAATGTGAGTCTCAAAGAACTGAGCTCAGACCTGAGATTGTCAGTCTTGGCAACAAGCACCTTTACCAGTTGGAACATCTCAACAACCACTTGACTTTATCTCTCAATGCCTCAAGAATTGCTGGTGTCATGGGAACCCTTGGTGAGGTGTAGAGAACATTCTAAATTTATGAAGTGTGCAGTATCAAGCAGAGGATGCCTACTAGTAGCAAAGCTTCTTTTGAGAACCGAAGAAGGAAAAGCCATCATGTTTCCACTGCTTCCTTCTGGTGACTGTTTTGATATGTACACCGGCTTCCTGTTCTAGGACCAGGTCATGCCCAAAGCTGCGCCTTCTTCACAGTCAGCGTCCACCACACATGCTTTCAAGAAGTGAATTTCCTATGCCCAGTTCTGGTGAATACCATTTAAAGCCCCTGTCCAGCTCAGTATGTAGTGTCTCCTCTTCACTGCTAGTCCAGCAGCCAACTTACTGAAAAACTCTCCTCTGTATTGATGACTTTCCATTAACCTTATGATGCTTTGCTCTCATGAACCTGTGATATCTTTTAAGGAAGTAGACTGTCGGTAATTCATGATTTATGTTATTGCTTGAGCATATCTGAATTATTTTACTGCCCTTTAATAGTAGCCCACTGAATCTGTGAAAGGGGTGTTCTCAGTGTCTCCATTTTGCAGATGAGGAACCCCAGGCACAGATTCTGCAAAAGTAACTACATTTTACTAACGTCATGCATGTTCAGATACCACCTCCCAGCTTGACAGATGTGTCCAAGCACATCTAAACCTTTGAGTCCTGTCGTTGAGAAAACAGATCTTCTTACGGGTTTTTTCTCTCAAGCTTTTTGGTATAGAAAAACCAGAAAGGTACATTTATATTTTTGAAAGGTAGTGTCTTAGTTAGGCTTTCTATTGCTGTAAAGAGAAATCATGACCATGTCAACCCTTTTTTTTTTCTTTTTTTTTTATTGAGAATAAGAAAAAAAAGTTTCCGCCTCCTCCCAGCCTCCCATTTCCCTCCCCCCCCCCCCAATCTTCTCCCCCTCCCCCCTCTCTTCTCCCCCTCCCCCCACTCCTCTCACCCCCCTCTCCTATCCAAAGAGCAGTCATGGTTCCCTGCCCTGTGGAAAGTCCAAGGTCCTCCCCCCTCCGTCCATGTCTAGGAAGGTGAACGTCCAAACTGGCTAGGCTCCCACCAAGCCAGAACATGAAGTAGGATCAAAACCCCTTGTCATTGACCTTGGCTTCTCATCAGTCCTCATTGTTCGCCATGATCAGAGAGTCCGGTTTTATCCCATGCTGTTTCAGTCACAGTCCAGCTGGCTTTGGTGAGTTCCCAATAGATCAGCCCCACTGTCTCAGTGGGTGGGTAAAAAGTAAGAAGGGGAGGATTGGGGGAACTTGGGGAAACAGGAAGATTGGGATAAAGGAAGGTCGGATAGGGGAGCAGGGAAGCACATATCTTAGTTAAAAGAGCCACCTTAGTGTTGGCAAGAGACTTGAACCTAGAGTGGCTCCCAGGAGCCCAAGGCGATGTCCCCAGTTAGTCCCTTGAGAAACTGAGGATAGGGAACCTGAACTGACCCTATCCTATAGCATTACTGACGAATATCTTTCATATCACCATAGAACCTTCATCTGGTGATGGATGGAGATAGAGACAGAGACCCACACTGGAGCACTGGACTGAGCTCCCAAGGTCCCAATGAGAAGCAGATGGAGGGAGAACACGAGCAAGGATGTCAGGACCATGTCAACCCTTATAAAGGAAAGCATTTAATTGGGGCTGCCTTACAGTTTCAGAGGTTTAGTCCATCTTCATGGCAGGAAACATAGCAGTATTCGTGCAGAACTGGTGCTGGAGAAGGAGCAGAGAGTCCTACATCTTGATCTAAAGGTACTAGGGAGTGAACTGAACTAGGCATAGTTTGAGCATAGGAGACCTTAAAACCCACTCCCTCAGTAACACACTTCCTCCACCAATGCCACACCTACTCCAACAAGGCCATACCTTCTAATAGTGTCACTTCCTATGGGCCAAGCAGTCAACCTCGTGAGTCTATAAGGGCCATTCCTATTCAAACAATCACAGTTAGGATTTATAGCAGAGAGCCAAAATTTTCACTTCAGAGCAAGTAAGTTGTGCTCCCGCAAATAGACTCCTGACCATGGAGCTGCGTTTTGTTATTTTGCTACTTCATTAGAAACTCAACTTCAGCTTTTCATAGGCCATTCACAGCCAAGTGTGTATGCTTACTAATTCCTGAGAGAGGCCTCACCAATGAAGGGTAGTTATGAGTAACTAATAAGTCTCTGCTAACAAGGTGGCTCGTTGGAGTTTGCCTCTTTGCTTGTGCTTTGCCGAGAATGCTAATGTTCCAGCCAGGGGAAGGAAAGCAGGCAGCAAAGAGCAGGGCTGGCCTACATATGTGATGGCCTGAGAGTGTCTGAAGGGTGATGCTAGGCATTAGCTGGCTTTGTGACTCCATAAGGCCCTTCAAATCATTGCTCTAAAAGAAACAAAGAGATGTGAGAGGCTGCTGTACTGGGTACCGCACTGTTCTGAACTGAGAGATCTAGATACCGCTGTGCACTATTCCGTACTGAGAGATCTAGATACCGCTGTGCACTATTCCATACTGAGAGATCTAGATACCGCTGTGCACATTCTGGCTGTTAAAGAGCTGTACCTTTTAGTAATGTTTTTCCGTGACTTAGACTTTTCATTCTTTCTGGCACCACTTCGTGTTCTCAGAAAAGGTTGAAAACAGGCTTGTTTAATTTGTTTCCCTCAGATTTGCTCTCTTTGATCTCGTAGCTTGTATGATCGCCCTCATCTCTTCCTCCTCACCCTTCCTCTCCACTTGGTTCTGGTCTTTCCAACGCTGCCTCGTACCCTCACATATCCAGTAGAAAGCAGGTTGTCTTTACTGTCAGGTCACATGTCTTTCCCACTGTCTGTGCTCAAAACACATTCTCAGTAGCTAAATTGTAATTTAAGAAAATAATAATTAAAAAAGGAAAGAAACGAGAGAACTGTGGATCCTATCATCTTAAGTATTTAAAATACATTTTGAGCTTCTTTAAGTATAAAATCTTCTCTATACAAATAGACAAAGTCATGAGGTCTCAGGCAGTTAACTAAGTTTCTTCTTCTACTAATTTCCCCAAGGAGAAAAGGAAGCTGAGAATGAAGGAATGCAGGTTAATTCTAAAGCACTCATTTCTCTGGCTTTATCTGATTTCACATCTTTTTTTAACAATTGCAAAAAAAAAAAAGTGGACAAATTAGCAATTCTCCTGTGGAACCCTCCAAAAGCTATTCTAGAAATCCCGTGGCCCATGGAGAAGTGCCCACTGATGCTACCTCAGAGTCAGTATGATCAGCCTGTTCTCGCGTATTTGCTTGCCAGCACTTATATGTGGAGATCTGAGGGAAGTGCTGCCTCAGATTCATTAAAATGATGAATGCTTTTCCTACCCTCTCTCTCAGGAAATGGCGAAAATCCTCAACCACCCCAGAGTCTACGCGTTTCTCCACATCCCAGTGCAGTCCGCCTCCGACAGCGTGCTCATGGACATGAAGAGAGAGTACTGCGTGGCCGACTTCAAAAGAGTTGTGGATTTTCTCAAGGAGAAGTAAGCCTGTTAGCACTTTGGAAAATAACCATTTCTCTCTTCCTTCCTGAGGTGTGTGGCTGCAGGGCACTTATGCAGCCTTGCAGTTAAGGTGCGCGGCAAAGGGCGAAAGTCCAGAAGCTCTCAGAGCCTCCAGTTTCCTTGGGGCCCTTGATGTGGTTTCTGCTCTCCCCTCCATGTGTGCACAAAGTGCTCTGTTGATTTGAGTAAGCTTTCCCACCCTCCCACAGCAGTTCAGATTATGATTGTTTTCATACCTGACCAGCTAGTTAAAAACTGCCCTCTCGTCACTAGCCCTTAAAGTCTCCTTTCATGTGGCCTTTTGAAGTTGTGAGCTGGCTTTGACATGGAGGAAGGGACCAAGTCTGTCTCTAGGAGTGGGTCATTTTTCCCGGCTTGCATTTTCACAGTGTCTGGAATGTCCTTGCCCATACACGCTGATTCCTGCAGTTCACTTGAGTACTTACAGTTTGCTAGGAGGCTGGAGGATTCTATTTTCTTCTGTTCAAATTGCTGTTGACCAAAATTAAAGCATATTTACACAATCGCAGACATGAATGATAATTTCGTTTCCACAGAAAAACACTGCAGCCCATAATTATGTTCTTCAAAAGCTCCCTTCCCAGCACAGAATGCATTCTATGATTAGACAAGGCAGGAAACAGAGGTGCTGGCCACGGTCACCCGGACCCTCCTCAAATCTAGGATGCCATCATCACCTCTGAGATTGTATCATTTATCTTGGCACATTTGTGTGTGGTTTCTCTACTGTCCATAATTTATGCTTTACCCCCACTGTTGTTGTTTCCGACTTGTTGTTTGTAATTATGTGGTCTTGCGCCATGTCCATGTCCTACACGGGTATGATTGCTTTACACAAATTGTAAGCAATTATTTTTTCCACCTTTAATTATTCGCTAATTTTTATGGCACACACTGTTACAGATCCTCTCCTATTTCCTCTTCTCGTCTTTCTTTAACGTGTCTTTTCATTTCTTATCCACCTCTAGGCATGTCTTGATTATTCTAATCACCAAGAAGAAAGAAATTTAGGATGTAGTCAAACAAATAGGGCTAATTGTTTAAATATTCAAGTCAGGAATAGGAAGAAATAGGATTGTATAATTCTAGCATTAAATCTGTGCAGCCTTTAAAGTAACACAGAATCATTGCAAATCCCTGCCATCTCCTACACTTTTGGATATTGAGTAGACCTGGTCCAAGCTACATAATGTGGATTCTTGTGCCAGATGTATGTCATATCCTGTCCTTGCACTTGTGGTCGTTTTTGTAAGTAAGCTTGTTTCAGGTAATAAAGTCCTTCCAAGCACTGTGATACTAGAGCGGGTTTTCCAGATAGCAAGTGAGTTGTTATTCCTGTGAAACTTCTTACCTTTCATGTATTAATGTAGCAGCCAAGAGTGTGCACACCTCATACATTTTACACAATATTTTTGCCTTGTGCATAACGGAATAGAATCCCTTCCAAGGACTCTTTTGGGTATCATGATTAGGTGAGACTGAGGACTCACCAGCTCTGCTCTGCCTCCGTGTGTGTAAACACTGATTCAGTCATTTAGGGAATCTCTGTGCTGACTAAATATTCAATAGAGACCCAGAACATTCCAATCTTTTGTGTTGCTCTCAAGATCAGCATGTTGAATGCGTTGCATCTTGAACATTTCCACCAACCTCCATGTTATAGGTCAAATGTGAGTCACATTAAGATGTAAGAAAGTTAGCCCTTCCCTTTTTTCATAGACTTAATTAATTCTGAGTCTTTTTCCTTGTAGTCTCACTTATCTGTGGCATTTTTGTAGTTTCCCAAGGTGTATTTCAAGATCTTTGAACCACAGATTCTAACAGGGTCCTTTAGTGTTTTCAGCATCACAGACCCCAGAGATCCCTGAAAATCTGGAGAATATACTCCATCCCACACATGTGCATCCTTGTGTTGTGGATGGCTACAAGTTTGGAGTAGATAGTATGATAGTAATCATTCTACATTAGGAGATTTTAAAGTTGACTAAGCATTATCCTCAGTCAGCATGGGCAGAAGTAGTCCTGGTATAGTGAAGTTCCCAGTTAGGTAATAAGTGAAATACAGTTGGAAGCTGTAGGACAAAGTCAGTAAGATAAGTGGGAAAATCTCAAGTACCCTATAAAGTCATTGTCACTATGAATATAAGCAGTTTTTGCATGGTTTTAGAGAGTTCATCAGAACCATAAAATTAGGGAGAAGAAGCCCACCTCTCCTCATAAAGGCAGTGCAGAACAGCTCTATTCTCTAACAGAAAGATAACTTGTCCAGCTTGTTGAGAAACCTCATTAATCCAGTGACTAATTCTCAGTTATTATGGACAGTTGGAAATAGATGGAATATCGACCATGGTTTTTGTTGCTCATTATGTACTTCCTTATCCCATTAAAAACTAACATGGCTTTATGCAAGATAGATTTGTTAGCCCAACAGTAGTGGTGCATGCCTTTAATCCCAGCACTTGGGAGGCAGATTCAGGTGGATCTCTGTGAGTTCGAGGCCAGCCTAGTCTACAAGAGCAAGTTCCAGTACAGCTCGTACTGTTACATAGAGAAACCCTGAGAAAAACAAAAGCAAACAAACAAACAAAAAAAAACAAAAAAAGACAAGATAGATTTGTGCTTATTTTAGAAATACAGAAGTCCTGCTCTAAGACCAATAATACTATTATAATAATATTTTATCTATTTATTAATTTTCAGTGTGACATTTTCATTCTTAGAGAGTTTCACACATCCTGATTTGTGTCCGGCAGTTGATGATGAAATCGCCCTGATGTAAACTGATGTGTTTTTTGTTTTCATCTTCTCTTTGCTTTATTTCCCTTATTAATTTTACTGATAATTTTTGTTATTTGACAATAACATGTATGTTCTTTCTCATATATATATGTGTGTGTGTGTGTGTATGTGTGTGTGTGTTCTTTCTCTCATATATTCCCCTAAAATCTATGGAGCCTTTTGTAATGAGTCTGTAACAAATAGGAATTACTTATTCCTTCCTTCCACATTGTGAGGCTCATAGATTTTATGCTGTGAATGAGGGAGGAAACATTTCCCAATCTGTCTCCTCAAACAACTAACGTTTACCTTAACCTACAGCATTAGTCTGCAGCCCACAGGTTTAGGGAGTTTACCTGAAGCTGCAGGCTTTTAAGCTACAAATTCAAAGGTCTTTCCGGAGCTCTGTTTCTCACGCAGTGGAGTGGAGGTGAACTCTTCTTAATTAATTTTCTTTCACAGTTGAAAATGGTCCATGTTTTAGCTGGGAGCAATCTGAGTTTACCTGTGAGCCAGCTCGTAGCTGACTCATTATTCTCTTCGGTTGTTTGAAAGTTGGCAGCTATTATCATAACAGCAGCTGGACTGAAGATAACCTGGTAGGGTTGGCACATGTTGAGGCATATGGGAATTTATTAAATCATGCAGCTTTTGCAAAAAAAAAAATAAGAGTGTCTAAATTACTTGATATGCTCATTTAAAACAGCTGGCCACAAGCAGAGAGTCATATGACTTGAAGTCTACTCAGATTTATTAGCCCAGCAGATGCTTTTATTTAAATGGATTGATGGTTTCTTGAGATGCATGGTGGGCTTTGTAGGAACTGGGAAGAGAACGGCTGAACAAAGTAATACACATAGTTCTGGTTTTTTAGTCTGTTTTTAGTTTTTATAAGTATATCATCCATTTTACTTCTTTATATATTCCTGAATTTTTAAAAATAAAAATTCAATCATTCCCCTCTTTTATGTACATTTTTTGAGTAATTCCTCCCATTTTGAGGGATTTTTTTTTCTGTTATGTTATGTACTGTTCTTAGGATTCCCTGACTCTGGGGTTTGTTAGAAAAAGTGTTAGCTGGATTCCTCCTCATTCCCAGCCTCTCTGGGAAAGCATCATAGTCATCTATTCACATGCTGGAATTTTTTTCTTTCCTATCCTTAGTCGGAGTTACCATTTGCCCATTACCAGAACACACTGGGAAAAGATGAAATATGTCAAAATTGTGTTTTCTTCCACCTTGTCCATCTAGTTTTATTTCTAGTGGTTTAGAAATGTAAGTGGCAGTTTGATATGGTAACTCATGCCTGTAACCCCAGTATTTGGAAGGTTGAGGTAGGAGGATCACCATAATTTCAAGGCCAACCTGACTGTGAAATGAGACCCTATCTCAAAAACAGGAGGAATAAAATAACCAAAAAGAGAAAAATGTGTGTCAGAGTAATCAGAATAAAGAAAAATAAAAGCTCCCACTTCACAAGGATTAGATATAGTTTCCTACAGCTGCATTTCCAGATGTGTTGGTGTTCACTGAAGAAGCTCCTCTGAAATAACGTCCTCAGAAGTGTTCTCTGGCTTTCCTGGGTTATGTTCTTTCTGATGTCTCTAACTAGGTTGCTGTTTCTATGTCCCTGATGTCTTCCACCAGTTTATCTCTGTAATTTTTGCTTTACAAAGTGGTGTTCTCCTCACTCCTTTCTGTTGCTATTTTCAGAACTTTTAACAGAGGAAATATATTTCATTTGAACAAGTGCCAATCCCAGGACCCATTGGAAGTAGAGAACCAGTTCTTGAAAATCATCCTTTGACTTCCACATGTGAACTTACATACATACAATTCTCACACACACACACACACACACACACACACACACACACACACACAAAGAAAGAAGGAAGGAAGAAAAAATAAAGAAAAATAAATTAAGATGTGATATAAGGTAATAGACTTAGCCGAAGGGTTTGGGAATGTGAGTTGTATTCTGGCTAACTTGTCAGTTTTATTGCTTTCAGAGTCACCTTCAAACATAATGAAGCACAAGTCTCAGTATATGTGAGGTATATGTATATTAATTATATGTAATTGTTATTACATGGGTATATGTAACTAATTATACCCATGCAATAACAATTATATATAATGATATAATGAACTGAGTGGGGGTGACCCACCCTTAGTA